TAAATCATCTAACCGCTCAAGATGTTGAAGAAATCTCAAGCTGACTAGGTTTTCCGAAGTATTCGGGAACAATACGCCTCCAAACATAAGCAACAACAGCGACCTCGTGTACTTGTTAATATGAAGATTCGGTGTATCATGAGTAATATCATCATGCATTGCCTTAGCCGTTGCAACGTCTCCAGGTACTGATCTCCCGTATAATCTCTCTTGGCGTGCAGCAAAGCAACAAGAAGTCTATCAACCGGCAGCCCATACAGAACCTCCACGTCCTGCAGCGTGATAGTGGCCTCGCCAATGGGAAAATGGAATGTGTGCATTTCTGGTCGCCACCGCTCTATCAAAGCTGTGATCAATGACCAATCCAGCTGTAGCCGGCTGATCTCAATGATCCTATAAAAACTCGTATCCTACAGGCGTCTGACTATACATGGATAGAGCTGGCGATTCTTAAGAAAGTCCCACATATCGTCTATTCTCCTAGAACGTAAAGTCTGGGCCAATAACTGCCCCATATGCTCGGCCTGTGGCCGTAATAGCTCTAGGGAGGCAGGTCCGGGATGCAAAGGCGGAACCTCCATGACGACTATTGTAAATTGAACAAAATTAATTACATTATTTTTCTTTTCCATTGCTTAAATATATTGCAATACCTTGAATATTAAATTTTATTCGATATTTTTACTATATTGTTAATTAGGCTGATACATCTCCAATATTATAATTTTATATTTTATATGTTACTTTAATATGTTAGTTTTATTATTTTATATGTTTGTTAGTTATTCACCTATTTTTTACTATAGAGGATTTTATTATTAAATATTTACATTTTGGTTCCGGACACAATATTTGAGGCCCAGTAGCACCAATATATCCTGAATTCTTATGTTCATGATGAGAAGTTTTTTCAATTTTTCACTCAACAGGTCTGTTATTTTATATGTTAGTTTATTATTGTATATGTTAGTTTTATTATTTAATATGTTAGTTTTATTATTTTATATGTTTGTCTGTTTGTTACTAACTTATTTTTTACTATACTAAAATTAAATAATTAATTTTCATAACTATACAAGATTTAATTATTAAATATTCACATTTTGGTTCTAGACACAATATTTTAGGCCCAATAGCACCAATATATCCTAAATTCTTATGTTCTTACGTTTGTTGACTATAATTGAAGATAGTTTATGTTTGAACTATCAGCTTTTTGACGTATTTTTGGGAATAAAAGATACTTAAATGATTAATTTCTATAACAACAAGGATACTACGCTAAAGGGCACTAGGTTTTACTACGTTAAAAGGTCACTACATTATAAATACGAGTACTACATTAGGCCACAAGATACCGCTAAAGAGAACTAAAGTAACAATTTATCTAGTTTACTAGTCTTTTAGCAAAAAAATAATCTAAACCGGACAAAAAATAACAAATCAATTTAATCACAAAAACAATCACGAAAATACATATAACACAGTAAAAAGTAACTAATTAACATTTTTTTACAACTAATAACAATTTCTCTATTTTAAGAATTTTGTAGCATACTAATACTATAGTCCGGATAAAAAATAATAAATTAGTGAAATTGCAAAACAATCACAAAATAACATAGAGCACATAAAAAATAACTAATATGCANGGTTTCGATGATTCAGTTTTGGGGATATATATAGCGTCTTTTGTTAAGAGGTTATATATATATATATATATATAACATCTTAACAAAAGACGCTATAGTTTCCGCTTTTTTTAATTCAAATATAGTGTCTTTTTAAAAGACGCTATACTTAACTGGTCAAACGGCCGTTAAAGTATAAAAGACGTTTTATATATTTTGGTCACTATATTTTTTCACATATTTTTATTCTTTGAGTCCAAAAGAACCACATTTTGGTTCTGGATTCATCCAATGATACGCTTAACATTTTGTGGTATTGTCCGCTTTGAGTCAAGCCTGTATAATTTTTCTCAAAAAATCTCACACAATTAAGAGATCTTCACATCTTATATGTAGGCTCCCAATACTTCTATCTATCAATATGGGACTTTGTTCGCACACATCAATCTCCTCCTTGAACTAAGTTTCACGTGGCCTACTACCACGAGTCACGATGTGTCACACACATCATTAGAACATTCATGACAACCGAAGCACGCAACTAGCTTTTTTTTTTTGTGTGTGCGTCTTCAAGCTCGTAAGGTTAAGCAAACCGAGCCCTGCACCGTCACTCAACCATTACCATATTCGCCCCGTCGAACTTGGGCTATGGTACCAGTTATTGGACTAAAACGGCTCAATAATACTATTAACATGGTATGATATTGTCGGATTTGTGTCAAGTAATCGATTTTCCTCAAAAGACGTCATACCATTAAGAGATTCTTACATCTTATATGTAAGCTCCCATATGCTAATCATAAATAAAATTCCTTCATCCTTAATCACAAATTTTAGATTCGAGCTTTATGTATGAAAAAAATTCTCATAAGGATATTCCTCTTTAATAAGTCTTATGCGACGAAAAATCGAATTACACGGGACCCTAATTTAAGTATCGAATACCAGATGAAAACAAAAAAAGAACCCACCAAAAGAAGACGGGAGAAAAAAAAAGGAAAAGACAATGGATTCTCATAAGTTACTTTTGGTTCATCTCCTGGTGCAAAGTACTGTCACATAACCAGAAAATGTTAGTTCTGAGAAGAAGAATATCTGTTTGAATCAAGCAATACCGAACAAAAAGGGTCAAATGTGCGCGGTTAGGTCACATATTTTGAGTTATTTATAATTAAAGCTTGATTTGTTATTTTTTTCGGTTCAAAATAAGTAATTTTTTGACTTTTTTCTTGTGATCTAAAATAAGTAATTTTTTCAGATTTCAAAAATGATTTAATTATTTTTTTCCTACATTACTCTTGGAGTAATTAATGTTGAAGTATATGTTAGGAGTGTTTATGTGAAGAGATATTAAAAGTTAATATAATTAATTTTATTGCTAATTAATATTAAAAGATAAATTTATTAATATACGTGAAAAAAACCAAAAAAAATCACTTATTGAACCGGAGGGAGTAATATTTAGAAGAAACTTATTAAATACTTGATCAAGTTACGACAAAAGTTTATTGAAAGGAGAAATTGCAGAGAGGTGACGATTATGCTCTACCTTGGAGAAAAGAGGCAATTAGGATAAATATGTTTGTATAGATGACTTTTGTTTACCCTCAAAATCGGATAACAATTTAATTTAAAAGTGATTTTAAAAATACGCAGATTAATTTGACACAAAATAATAAATTAAATTAAATTGAAAAAGTAAAGATAAAAATAAATTCAAACCACACGCATAGGATAATTTCAGCCTTAGTGAAATCTTTCTCCTCGATCCGGGCTCATTGTGGATAAGAGCTAATGACAGAGAAAAAAACAATAATATATTGACTTGGGAAGCGTGTTACAATGTCTTTCATAAATTATCAGACCTCTTTTATACAGTAGGGGAGTCCTACTTTAAGTACAACTCTATAAAAGGTAAAAAATCTTCTGATTAACTGTTTGTCAGCTCCTTATCGATACGTGTTGAGATCCCCGCCGTAATATCCGGTCGGTCACGAATATTTCAGTCTTCCGTTGGCTATGCTTGATTGTCCGATAATGTTCATCGAAGCCGTTCGAGGTTAAGATCAGTCCGGAACTATGACCCTGATATTCTCGGGGGCAGGCGTCATGCCCCCGAATCCGACTCGACGAGACTTTCACCTCGATGTCGGCCTCTTGTCATTATGTCTCGAGCTTGGCTTATCCTATCGGAGGTCGGAGTGCACCATGAGCTCGTTTTTACCCGTATACAACTTTACTGATATTAATTTATAAAAAGTGAGATTACTAACTTGGTAAATAAAGTAAATTAACTGTTATGTATGGAGTATTAAAATATATTGATAGTTCAAATTAAAATTCACTAAATTCTAATTCCAAGAATTCAAAAGGAAAACCATTGGTATAAATGATTGGCTGGTTCTTTATTCAATTCTCGGAACTAGTAGCTAACGTGGACGAATAAACAACAGAAATATTATGGGTCATGTAACATGGCCAACAAACCCTTATTGTTGCAGTGCATGAACTAAATATAGTCAGAAATCAGAATATAATCAGTATATTCAATGTACCCCACCAATAAAATATTGAAAAAATAAACAAAAATACAAAATACTTTTTCTGGACTCAACTTTTATGACTTACATATGCGTTTTTAAAGTAACCATTAAGTACACTACTCATGACAATGTGAGCACGTGATTTTTGCCCTATATGAGATCAGAATCTCAAGGAAATAGATTTTCTTTTAATTATTTGCTATTTTAGAAATTTTTGTAGAATTTTCTCAATTATTTGCATTTTTTTGTGCATATTTAATTTTTATTTAAATCATGAAAGTACAAAAATACTTTGCATTTGCATTTAGGACTTATTTTTTTTATATTTTTAGGTTAATTAGTAAATTAGTTGTTTTATAAAAATAAAAAAAATCACAAAAAGGACTCACTTTGCATTTTTAACCTTTTAATTTTAGATTTTGTAGTTCTTCTTTTAATTTAGAAGTTAATTAATTTTTTTAATACTATGATGAGTAATTAGCTTAATTTGGTAAATTATTTTAATTTAAGAGTTAATTTGGTTTGTTGATTAATTTGAAAAGTCAAAACAAAAAAGAAAGGAAATTGAGAATTTGTTTCAAAACCTTGAAATTGGACCAATTTTGAAAACTCATCTGGAATCTGCTTCAAATTCAGGCCCAAATTCTCTCCATACCCGGTCCAAACCCTTCAGGTGTCAAGACAATCCAAACGTCATAGTTTTGAGTTCAATTAAGTTAAGTTGATCTTGATTTTCCATCTTCCATCATCCAACGGCCCTGATACTTCCCCCATTTTCATTTAAAATTGTTCAAACACCGTTCAGAACAACCTAGTACCTTCTTCACTTCACTTCCTTCATCTCTCTCAAAGTCAAGAACCCTAGCCCGCTGCCCTGAAACTCCTAAGCTTCCACCGGCCGGCGGCGGAGCCCAATCGACCCTAAAACCCTACCACACAACCATCACCCACCCCTGATTCCCAATCCACCACCACATCTCCCAAAATCCCCACCAAATCCGGCCAGTTTTGGATCTTAAAAAGAAGAAGAAGAAAAAGAAAAAGAAAAATCTCTCAAGTATTCGAGTTTCCAAGAACGATTAGGGCTGAAATTGGTATTGTTCGTCTGTTCTCGACGAGAACACGCGATTGATGCCAATTTCGGTTCAAATCGAAGTTTGCCTGAGGTTTGTCAAGCCCTGTTCATTTGCCTATTCTAGGTATTTCCGTCCATTTTTCTTTCTTTCTGTCTTTTGTTTTATTCTCATCTTCATATATTTCAGATTCCTCTCTTTTTCTTTCTTGTTTTTCTGCTTTAAATAGTTTTGTTTGCATGATTGGGATTGAGTCATTTTAGTTTATAATGTTTAGATTAATTTCTCTGATTAGTATTTGCTAGTTTTACTTTTTCCTTTTATTATTTCTGCTTCATGTAAAGATTTCATGTCTAAAATTCAGAAATGGAGTTATTTTGGGTTTTTTAGTTTGCTTGGGAATTCATTGGCCTAAACCTTAACTTGGGCTTGCTAAATGCAAGAAGCCCAAAGAGCTGTTTAAAGCTCGGTGTTGCAGAGGCCCAAAGGTACTTGGGCAGTTTGGTTCAAGGTCTAGTGTGAAGGTAATTAGTAAGTCTTAAGGGTATTTGGGGGAGTTTAATAAGGGGAATCTTTTAAAACCGCCTGGGAAACTTCCAGAAAGGTGGGGAAGGGGGTAGATTTACAAACAAGTTTTAAATTGGGGTCTGAATTGGATAGATAAAATTTGGGGCATGGGGTAAATGGTAAGTTTGAAAATTCACTACTGATGCCCTAAAACCCCTCTATAAAGGTCCCCTTTCCTTGATTTTCAAGGCAGAGATCAGAAACCTAAAAATTCATAAACGACTGGGGAATATACATTGCTAGAGTTAGGAAATTAACAAGAAAACACAGGAAAAAAAGAGAGAAAGTACTGTTACATTGGCTGATTTTCTGGGATTTGAAAGATGATCTAATACTTTGCTGGTTTTGGATTCCAAATATGGACTGAGATTGATGTTTCTGCTGCTAAGTTACTGCTGATCTCACCCTCCTCTTTTGAAATTCTGTAGCTGTTTTTGGTTGTATCCAGATACATTTTCGAATCCTTGGAGTGGAAATGTGAATGTTGAATGAAAGATGGTGTTCCAATGTCTAAATTCTAGCCTCACTTTAAAGTCTGGTCTTAGTAGTCTTGTTATGGCTTGATGTTTATCAATTAGTTTGTTTACAGTTTTAACTGAACTTGGTATAATTACATTGAATGTTATGTAGTTGTTTGTAATCGTAAGTTTGGACTTTCAGTTTACTTCTTTAGCTTCAAGTGTATTCGAATAGATTTCTAGTTCATTATTAGGGGTCTAATGACATGACATATTACTGCTTGATTCACTAGTTTCATGTGCTGAAACCAATGTTATAATTAGCTTTGATGTACCTGTGCGTTGTATGTTCTTGAAGAATCAATACTTTTGCTCAAATGATATCAGTTTAAGGGTTCTGAAGGTTGTCAACTTTGAGTGTTAGCTTGACTACCCTGCACTTAATATTAGCATATGCATAACAGGTGTATGAATGTTAGTGAAAGAAAGTCTGTGAGTCTAATGTTAAAGGTTTCATAGAATTAGTCCATTATTGTCTTGGATCTAATGTTTGGAGTGGAACAGAGTTGAGTTCATGTTAGTAATAGTATTTTTTGAAATCATGTTAGTGTTTGGTTAGAATTCATGAATTTTGTTATATTTTAAATAGTGAGACAAACTGTGTATGAGCTTTATAACATCAGTTATTGCATCTTCGTTATAGAATGTGATTTGGCATCAAAATACACTTTGCATCTTTTTAAAACTTGCAAGAATTGTCAGTACTTGTCTTAATCTCAAGATTTCTCATAAAAAAATGTAATTTGTTTCAAGTAATTGCCATAAATTACGCAACTAAGCCTTTGTCATTGGCCCAGTTACATCCAAAACCCCTTTTGCTGATCCCGTCCAGTTTTGGGCCTCACCTTGAGCCCAATGCCCTTTAAATTGTTGTCTATTATTACTTAAGTCTGAAATCCGCTTTCTCCAAATGTTAGGCCAATATGTAGCACTTTGAATAGGATGCGTATAGTAATGAAGACCGAATTAATTTGAACAAAGCTCAAACTGCTTTAATCTTTAATTAGATTGGGGTGTGCCATATCCACAAAACTTATAATTTATGGCCCTCATAAGACTAGACCAAGAAATCACTTTAGGAATAATTTGAGGCGTGTCATGCCAAATAAAAACCCCAAGCCCATGACCCTCATATAATTAATACTAACTCTTTAAAAATTGAGGTGTGTCATCAATTGAATTTTCCGTGGCCCTCACAAATTTGTTATTAATTTGAACCTTCGTAGTTGCTTTAGGCGCGTTCTTTAAATTGACTTTCTTTTAATTCTTAAATTCGGGTGTACATTTCATGTGACCCGGTTCTAATTTCCAACAAGGATAAGTAGAACGTGTCGTGAATCACGAGTACATTTCATGTAGCGTGGCTTGTGATGTGTTTTGAATAACCCTGAATTAATTCTTTAAATAAATAAAAAGCGATTTTAAAGTTAAAAAGGCACATAGGTTTAAAAGTAATTTAAAATCAGATAATTGGGCCGATAATGATAGTTGAGCGACCGTGCTAAAACTACGAAACCCGGGAATGCCTAACACCTTCTCCCGGGTTAACAGAATTCCTTACCCGGATTTCTGTATTCGCGGACTATAAAACAGAGTCAATCTTTCCTCGATTCAGGATTTAAAACCGGTGACTTGGGACACCATAAACTATCCCAGGTGGCGACTCTGAATTTTAAATAAAATAATCCCGTTTCGATTGTCACTTAAATTGAAAAAAACTCCCTTATACCCTTCCGGAGGTGATAAAAAGGAGGTGTGACAGACATAATATGAGTGAAGAAGATATTATTGAATCAAACAATATGAAACAAAAGGGTCCAATCTTAGACCTTTTGAGCTACAATTTTTCCCTAGATATTCATGCTATATTAATATATAATATTACCATAGTATAAATCTTTTTTTTAAAATAATATTTAGAATCTGAAAACGTAGCTTACTAGTTGTCTTGGGCCATCAAATAAACCATAGTATAAATGTACTACGTGAATTAGTTGAAGTACGAGCAACTTGACCTGATACCACTGTCGTATATTATATATATACACATAATCGGATCTTAATTGTGTAATGGCAAGACACATATTCTTCAGGATGACCAATTGTTGGTTTGAATCTGAAATTATCTTAGAATGTACACCAAATTTTCCTGAAATTATAGTTCAATTTAAGGCATAAACTGCATTTTCATGCCTCGTCTCACAAATTCAATAATATATCAATTCATATCTCCATTTTCTGCAAAAGGGGAAAGTAGCATAATTTCATTCCCTCGTGAAAGCCGGTATCTCACTTTGAAAGAGTCTCGACATGATGGTGTATACCCACTCCATAGCTAAGCTTATCACAGGCTAAAGAGTGACCGATCGGCCGGGGGGCGGATTTAGGGGGCGGAGGGGGGCTCGAACCCCCTTGGCCGGAAAATTGCACTATACACACAAGGCAAAATCCGTCTTGTGTCTCTATATATTATTTTTAGAATCCCCTTAAAAATAGCCCAAACGCATAGCTTAGTGGCCAAGGGGACTGGTTCAATTCCCATTGGCCAGTCTTTTAATAAATTTTAAATTTTTTCTTTTTTGAACGCCCTTAGCGGAAATCCTGTCTCCACCATTGCGACTGTGATGTGTGTGTCTATATATTTATATGTGATGTGTGTGTGTAACCAGTTCATGGAGGTAACACATTCTGCTCTTGCATTATAGATCATCCTTGTCAGATAAACATAAAAGAAAACTAGTACTAAATACTTGATCAGTGTACAAATCATCTAGAGGTTCACATCCCAAGCAAAGACTAAATTGTTGAAACTTTCCAAAAGATTATATATGTAATACATTCAGTACATATGAAAGGAGAAAACAACCAAATTCTTGCCCATCTTTGGGCAATTTGACATGCTCTACCTCAGACAAAAAGATAGAACATGGATCTATATATCTTTGTATAGCTATACTAGTATATACAAGTATAGTTTAGTTGGTTGTCATTTTTCTTGCTCTACCTTCTGCTGACTTGAGGATCGGCGACAGATTTCTTTATACAATCCACGATACCTACACAATCAGCCTGAGGCACGGGACACCCTGAATCATCTTCAGACTCAGGAAATGGATCTGTGTGCGGAGAGCGAAGGCTCCCATGAGTTTGACAGGCTTTCATTGTCTTACAATGCTCTGCTTCGTCATCTCTAATATTCATGAATACATCGTACAGATTATCTAAATAGGAAACACGAGTTCAATCAGAACTGTACTCTTTCACTTGTGTAAAAAGATTTACCAAAAGTAACAAAACAGCGTTCCTTTCTCCAGATAAACATATATCTCAGCTATAAGATAGGGGCGCACGAAATGTTACCACCGCTAGAGAATTATAAAGATAAGGGTGAACAACACTTTGTACCCTTCAGTTTTCAACAAAAATATCATTGAAAATTAACAAAGACGTCTAATGGAACATCTCAATAGAATGGCCAAGGATCAGGATATGAAGCATATTTATGCAACAGTCATCTTATTAAATAATCTAAACCAAGCTCAATATCGAAGTTCAGGAAAAAAGAGGGTTAAACAGCGACATGATACAATATCATTGAGGTGACTTTACCTATCTTTGGTCTTCGAGTATTAGGCTCTCGTGAAGTTTGAAATTCATCTGAAGCAATCACAAGATGGTTTAGAGTACTAAAGCAGATGGAAATTATTTGGTCATAAGTTTATTAAGTACCGCTGTAACACTCACCAAACAAATACAAGTCACCTCCCGTGTAGTAGCTCACGGCAATCTTTGGAGCGGGCAATTTCTTCAATTCCTCTGCAGAAGCATTAACACTGAATATTACTACCATTTTGAGGTTAAAAATCCAATAGCATTAAACTATCCCAGAAAAGGAATTGACTAGAAATATATGCATATTTTTCCATCTTCCCTCTTCCCCGAGGTCCTTGTTCCTTTCCAAACATTGTGCTATCCTTGAGAAAGAGCCAAGCATATTAAAGGAAACTACCACTTAAAATTCTGGATATTCCACTTTGCTGTTCAAAATATGCAACTGTTTGTAAAATAATACCTCCTTGCTCCTTGATGAATTTATCGTAAGTCTCGTATGCGTGGTTCTCCACACATTCAGAGAAATGATCTGCAAGAATTGAAGCACCACCAAACTGTATCAGTAAAGGGCCGTGTCAAACATAAAATCATGACCAACCACCACTGTCACTTTCGGGTATATAAATCAAAGAATTTAAAACTAGACAAAGAAGACGTGCACGAAAAAATGCCGAAAGCAGTGATTTCATCTCCCAATTCTGAAAAGAAGCAAGATAGGTAAAAGATGCTACATATTTTTTGATGAGTTAAAAAGGCTATAACACTTTTACTGGAAATATTAAAATTGGTCTATAAGATAATGATGAATATTCCAGCTATTATCGACATCCAGAACCATACTCTTTTAAACAATAAAAAGCTATGAGAAACTGAAAGGAGATAAAGAAAAGCTCTAGAGACGTGAACGTTAGATCCTAATATTACAACTTACATGCCATTCTTGGGCTCAAAGCATACATCAAAACTGTCATGAAATAATAGAATACTGCAACATGCTGCGCAAGGAATCGGTCAAACCACCAGGCATTTCCTCCTAATTCCTGCAGTTGAACAACAATGATTTCAGGACAGAGAAATATATCTATGAATTATTTTCAATTCAAGTAAACAAGGCTCTGTGACGCACAATAAGTTGGTTCATTACTTACTGCACGAAATATTCATAAGATCCCATTCAAAAGAAAGTTCACTTAGATTAAAAAAGGGCAGCCCGGTGCACTAAGCTCCCACTATTGCGCGGGGTCCGGGGAAGGGCCGGACCACAAGGGTCTATACTTTCACTATATAAGTATATGATATGAAATAATACATTTCTCCAATAAAAAGTTTAAAGTAGCACATGGAGACAATGTAGTATCAAGCCTTTCATATCGTAACCCTTGCCGAATAAACTATGCTTATTTATGAAAAAACCAACATACATAGCACACACTTAATGACTGCGGCAAGACAGATGCTTGTTAGGTGTAGTACATTAGAAGGACGAGAAGAAACATAAACTAGGGCATTTGTTGGAAGGAAATCAAGAAGTTAGAAGCTAGAGCATTACTTCCATAATGAGTAAATGGTGCATCTCATTCCAGCTCTCAGCAAAATGCACCTTCAGATAATCTGCTC